ACCAGGAATTGATCTGCCTTTGTCCTTATCCAGTCACATCACAGCTGGTAGTGTGACTTAAATGAGTTCCTTAATCTTTCTGGACTTCAGGGTTTTGTTTTTGTTTTGGGGGGCAGTGGGTTGTTTTGTCTCTAACACTTTAAATTTAGATGATCCCTAAATTCTTTATAATTAATACACCCTGATTTTCTTCAAAATTACTGCTGAAAGCTGTTAATTATTTCAGCAAATGCTATGAACAAGTGTAGCCACCTCCTGTATCCTCCAGGGGTGTAGTAGTTCTTAGAGGCTGCCTGTGATACTGAAAATTCAACACTAATAGGAATAGTTAATAAAGGATCAAATAAAGAACAGTGTATGGTCCGCTGGGGATATTTCCTGTCTGCCTGTGCTTTACTCTTTCTGACTCTGAGCATCAGCCCACCACCTCCCCCCAAAATTGTGTTTATTTAGAAGAATATGCATTTCCAGGACAAATTCTTCAAGGTAGGTAAATCATACCTGAGCAAATTTGGGTAGATTTTACAAAATCCAAAGTGAGAGGCATAATGATAGCTTTCAAAGCCCAGAGAAAAAAGAGATTTTGTTCCTTTTAATTTTGACAATATGTATGACATCCCAGGGAATTTCCCGATTTTTCATAGGACTGAATTGGATCCAAACCCTGTTTTTGCTTCTGGGGAATGCACTTTGTATCTGACCCTCTGGGGAGCAGTTTAGTCCTTGGGTATCTTTTGCATCCAATATTTTGTATTAATAGTTTCCTTGTAAATAATGACCTGATGTTCTAAACTGGAATGGAGGACTTGGTGACAGTGTGCAACTGTCCCAGGGTGGAAAGAGGGTGTTTCATTTCTTCTTTTAAAAGGAGCTTTTCAAAACAGATTTGTTCCTCACTTCTCAACTGCAATTAATGCTACACTTAAGAAAGATTAAAATACCACCTTTCATTATAAATTATGTACCAGTGGGACATAATTGTGACTTGGGGTGCTTATTAGATCATTTAAGGAAACTTTGCCTTCTTCATTCATTTCTTGGTCTCTTGAAAGTCCTCCCAACAAAAGCAAATTATTTTACAGCTTGTTTATAATTGAACTGGAACTCATCTTTATTGCTGCTTGTGCAACTCGTAGTGACATATTTTGCCTAACTTTGCTCTGAAATACAACCATTTTGTTGAACTAGTGTCCAAAGACTGCTTAAGTTATGAAGCTTTCCATACCAGACAGGACGATAACCAAGAATTCTACAAGAGCATAAAGGAAGCTGGGTTAATATACATTGTCATAAGGAACCCCTGTCAATTTGCTTTTCCTCTTTGAATTCCAAAATTAACACCTCAAAGACTACACATTTCCAAAGAGTCTACAACAGCCATAGAAATCTCTAGTGCACTGTACATGTTGAAATCAGTCAAGAAATTCTGTCTTCAAAAGTGTAAAAATCAATAGCATAAGACAGATTTTCTCTAAATGTTTCCCATTTAGTTACTCAGTTCTAATACAGTGTCTGCTAATGAAAAAATAAAATAAATATTCAGTAAGTCAAAAAGAGGTACACCACTTAAATATCCTTTTTTTGCCTCATACCCAAAAGTCAGTAAATAATAAGTTTGGTCCCCAGTCAATCTTTGCTTTGATAATTCTTGATTGTTTCTTTCAAGCAGAGGCCCCAACTCCAGAATCAACTAGTCCCAGGTGGAAAGGGAAAGTGGTCCAGGCAAAGACCAGAGGAGAATGACGGTCACTGACCGAGCTGAGGGAAAGCGTGTCCTGACGCATTCCCGTTATAAACATAGTCCCTCTCCCAGAGTTACTGATATGCCCAAAATTGCTGCACCAGTATTCAGCTGGCATTGTTTTCCCTTGCTCTTTTGGCTAAACTGCTTTTGCTTACCAAAGATCTTCAGCAGACAGGATCACTACATGTGATGAAACATAAGAAATTTAAAATATTTAAGGAGATATTTGTCTTTCTCTAGTGACCAATGTGTTAAAAATTAATAATAATTATCCTGAATATTAGCTATGACCTAAAACAAAGCTTCATATCATGTATTCTGAAAAAAACACTAACCCAATTCCTCTTTGTCATGACTAATAGAATTTTAATGGCTGAAAAGCCTTCTCCAGATCTCAGTAGTTATGCTTTGAGGGAAGGTAAGGAAATGGATTTACATCCTTTCTGCATCCCAGGGTATAAAACAGAATACACACCATAGCTCTGTGTATGCTCAGTGTGAGTTGTGCGATTTGGCTAAACATGGGTGTAGCATTACTGTTCCCAGTTTTGTCTTATTGCCTTTGGTTCATGTCTTTGAACATGTCCAGAGGGGCACGATGAGGAGAGTAAGGATTTGAGATCCATACCTTAGAAGAAAGATTGGAAATCAATTCTATTTATCCCAGAAAAGTGATTCTTTTTAAAGGGAACCGTGACTGTTCTTGAATATGGCCTCAGATAGTAATGCTACACTTGAGAAGTAGGGCTCCCAAAGTGGTATATCCAGAACAGTGTAAGCAATAACTACAACAGAAGGGGGCTGCCCAGAGGCCATGAGATCCCTAACCTAGGGGACTTCAAGGGGAAGCTTATTATTGCTGCTCAGATGACATTGAGATAAGTGTCTTCCCTCTAAGACTCCTGCAACCTAAGGTATTATCAAGTGGTGTAGATGACCTATAGGCGACTGACCTAACATTTGCATCCTGTGCCGAGGGAGAAAGGCACAGAGCATCTTGCTGGGATCAAGTGCTCTCTCTCTCTCTCTCTCTCTCTCTCTCTCTCTCTCTCTCTCTCTCGTGCTCCATTTGGACAGTTTTCATGAAGCAGTAGGACATTTTTTTAAAAACTTCTCAGAGAAAATGGGGTAGGAGTACAAGGTAAGAGCCCAGCTGGTAGGGTGTGGGAGACCACAGGTAAGAAAAACTCAGAGCAGAGATGGAATGATTGGGTAACATGGATATTAAGTAAGTTTGCCCGAATAGAGAGCATGGCTCAAGACTGAGAGAACTCAAGGAAAACTGGGTCATCAGTAATGGTTCACATAAAAGGATAGAAAAACTAACCATTGTAGTATTCAGTTACTAACCCCATGAATGACCATAGCTGCCCTCAGCACCCATCCTGCAGAGTGGTCCCATCACCAACTCTAGGTGCTTCTTCCTGGTGCTGAGAATAGAAGAGGTGAGTATGATGGGGTTGGATTTGCTCCCCGAGTCTGGATATAGTACACGTCTCTTCACTGGTTTTCAGATGATTACTCGGGGGTTCAGTATATTCCAGAATTCATTTTATTATATATGTCCTTTTCCTTAATTATTGGAGCAACAAGTATTTTAAATATAATGAATGAATTGTTATCACCTGGTGGAAAATACATTTCTAAGAAAATTCTTGTTAGAAATATTTCACTGAGATAAATACAGTTGTAAATTCTCCCCCTAAAAGATGCCCATATTAGTTTGTGGTGTTGTACAATTGTATTTCAACTTTTTCTATTAAACTAAAAGACTAATTCTCTTTTGAGATAATTATAACATAAATCATTTCTTAAGAAGAAATGGTCACACATGCCAATTTACTCCAACCATATGAAGTTTAGGTAGAAGAAAATTGGAATGTATTATTGGGAACACAGTGCCTCAACTCCATAAATAGCAGTTCCTTTTCTCTGAAAAACTCATTTGTACTTATTAAGAAAAGAAAAAAATTTCCCCCAAGCTAAAAAAAAGTAGCCTGAAAAGCTAATTTTAATGTTATAAGTTCAAAAATGAAAATGAGGCTGGGTTGGCAGTATTAAACCGAAACCTGCTAGTACCCTGCTCTGAGCTTCTCAAATAGGATCCCGTTCTGCACACATATGCTACATTGAACATGCATGGAATAGCATTTTGATAGAATAAGGATGTGTTCAATACAGAAGAACATGCTAATAAACTCAAACCAGAAAGATATTCCCAGGAACACTTTAGCCACCAAAACAAAATTATTGTTTCAATGAGAAGAAATTTCCTTGGTGGTTTTGGAACTAGAACACTACTGTCATGCTATCTGTATTTCCTGAATTGTTACTATCAAATTGAGTTCTAAGAAGTCCCCAATTGGTAAAACATGTGTCTCTGACTGGATCACTCTACAGCCTATAGCCACCTATTGTTTAACAAACAAGAAAGGAATGATTTCAGTAATTTAGAGGTGAGAAACTACCTCTAAATTACTTTAAATTCTAAATTCTAAAACTAGTTGAAGCGATTGATATGTCCTTACTAATATATATATATATAGTATAATAGCCATCTTCATTCCAGACCTATCTGAAAATAAAGACATTTTTGTCAATAAAGACCAATGTACCTCACCACTGCTCGTGGTCGTTTATTCTTAGAGAACCAGAGATATTAAAGGGCACCCCTAAGAGCTGATCTTAATTCAGAAACAAAGGTAAGGCTCCTTTCCTGGCTACTTGTTCAGTCCACTGTCCTCTGATTTAAAGAGCAAGTCTTGAGTATGCTGGTATAGAAAAACCATCTTGTCCATTTAGAAACAGAAATATATATATTAAGAGAGAAAAGGGAGCATATGGAACAGCACAGAGTTAGTAAAAACCATCACCACCTAAGTAGAAACCTTTTCAGAGACCATTGTTGTACAGATAGTAATACCCAATAGACGTGAAGAGAGTAAAGTGTTGATTTCTTGGTCATCAATGGGTAAATTTAAGGTTTCTAAGTTCAACTCTAAAGATATTTAATTAAAAGGAAACTTCCAATACTTTCTGTACCCATAAAAATCAAGGGGAAATGAAGACAATCATTTGTTATGTTTGAAGTATCCTTTGGTTTGAGTACTGTCCTGCCGAGAATTCCCTAAACCACATTGGCCTCTATGGGGTGGATGAGGCTTTGTGAAAATGCATTCGTGAGGCAGGTCTTGGGGAAGCGTGCACGGCAGGTGGCAGATTTCTGATCTCTAGTTTGCATTGATCTTACATTTAGACACAGACTCAGAAGAACAGACAGTCCCTTTTCCAGTGCCTTCGGAAAGATTGCCGCTCCGTAGAATGAGTCCTTTCTCCTCCACCCTTAATCTACAACCCAGCTTCCCCGGGAGAGCCTACTTTGATTTCCGATCCTCACCCCACCAGCTGAGCTTGCATTCCTCTTTACAGTCTCTCAATGCACCCGGTGAGCCGAGCTCGTCTGACCTTTCCTCTTGATCTCTGTGCCTTGAAGGCATCTCGGAAATACCTGTTTTGTTCTTGCTGTTCATGTGCGTGCGGAGGGCAGAGAGCTAATCTCTATGTCTGTGGCCTGCTTCCGGTATGAGGAGCATTTGGATGATGGGAGATTTGTGGCATTCTTGTTTGTGTGGTGTGAGGATTAACATCAAGCTGTGGTCAGTGTATATAATGGCATTGAAAAGTGATGAGTGAAGTTGTTCTTTTTGCACAAGCTGGTACCACCACCGTGGGAACCCTGCTCTGTCATCACATGCCATGGTGTAGCTCGCACAGGTGCTGGCTGAGGGGAGGCTATGACCTTAGTTTGGAGGTTTGCAACCCTGCTGTATCCAGGAAACCAGCTGTGTCTGGGAGACTGGATCAGTGCATCCAGCCTGGAGTGGTCTGATTAAACATAGACTCAAGAGATCTTTACTGAAAAAAGTTAAAAAGTTGCCAACAGCAGAATGCATCATGCAAAGCAGGCAAACCAGAGAGTAGAAAGTGAAAGTATTTTCTGCAAAAGCCTTGCTCACTGGTCAGACAGTCGTACTCAAGGCTGATTTTTTCCTAAGCAAAGGGAAGGAACAATCACCAGCTAAATCAGAAAGCCTTAACTAGCCTAAGGCCCAAAGATGGGAGTCACTGAGAAGTCAGGCCTCCTGAAGTTTCCCACAGCTGAGAGGGTTGTGACAGGGTTTCAGGTTTCAAGTTGAACTAGTGATGCTATTCCGTGAACTCTGTCTAGAAAATAGAATCTTAAAATGTCTAAGACGCAGACCCATTTGATCTCTTCAGGACTATATTGTAATCAGGGCTACACATGATGCACATTTTACATTTCCAGAGGCTTCTTTTGTTTGTTATTTTATTCTGTTTGCTCATCCCACATCCTGGAATGAAGAAGGCCACAGCATGACAGTGCAAAAAGGATGCAGGGACTTCAAGCTCCCTTTAAAATGACTGTTTTTCTTTGTGCTTTTATGTTTCTTCTTGTTTCTCTGTGCACTATTGGCTTTTAAACATGCTTTGTTATGGAACTCTCTTCACTTGTGTCTAATGTACTGAAATATTGTTATAGTCTTTGTAGTGTATATTGTCTCAAGAATAAAATGAAATGTGGGTTTGGGGATATTTGATGGCTGTATTTGACACCATTGTTGTATCGTTGAACCTTAAATGTACGATGGTGTATTTAAAGTAGTGTAAAAAGATTTCAGAAAACTTGTTTTGAAGATGATTTGCACAAGGCATGATTCATTTAAAAAACTTAAAAGCCCTATTCACATTCTGCAGATTTATTTCCAGAGCTGGATGAGATATAGTTTTAAAATTCCATGTGTTCCATACTCACTAAGTTCTCACCTGTGAGTAGGAATTGAGATGATAATTGATAGAAACTAAACAACTTAGCAGTAGCAGTAGCAGCAAACATAAGTAATCAGCCATTTTTGCATAGGAATTCATCTCAGAGAAAAATAAAGTAACCAAAAGTAAAGTCATAGTCTTTACATTTTGTTTTTAATTCAATCATTAGTCCCTTCTAAGGTGCTTTCTTATGTCTTCTAAAATTCTTTTAATTCAGTGGATTATCCTTAATTTAGCACATAAAGGCCTTAGTGAGTTGAAAAAAAAATTAAATGATCCTTTCTAGGAGATGTCCTGGTGCTCATCAAAAACACATTTCAGTCACTAACACCACTTTAAATTGTAGTTCACACGCTTTTGAACATTTTAAGACTAGAATGCTTCATTCACCCTGATGAAGCCTCCCATGGAAGAGGTAAGAGTATCCAAATATTAAGGAAGGGTGAGGTGGGTGCAAGAGTTCCACAGGTGATTCTAATGTATCTCTGAGGTCACTCCACCCCTATCAGCCACCATGCCAGCTCCCTTCCCTTAGGTGAAAAGGATGATGTAGTAAAACAATCTAAGAAAGAGAGGAGGTCATTTTTGTCTTTATTACATTTATTTCATGTCATTATTAATAATTACCAGATGTCTTTATTAACATATGGATTGCATCACATATTTAATTCTATAATTATCATTTGACTCGGGCCCAAGTCACAATAAAGGCCTTTTGGCACAACCAGAGTTAGAAGAACATGGAATAGTGATGTAGAATGGAGCTTTATCAAGATTCAGTGATTTCTCCACTTCAATTGGATGAATTTTTCTCATTTTCTTCTGAATATGAAAACTTTAATGGAAAAGGTTAAACTTAGAAGACAATGAAAATTTAAGCTCTACAGTTTAGAAACAATTGGAGGAGACTTTATTAAATTAAAAAAAAAAAAAAAGATCTACTCTTCGTTTTGAAAGAGCAGAGAAGCAGTTTTTACTCCAGCAAGTAAACTAACATAAAAAGGGCTTTGGTTTTTCATGAATCAGGCCTCTGGTGACTATTCAGCCGGTGCTTTTTACGTGTATACAAATAATCTTTATTGACTTGGTTGTTGTTTCATAGCTTTGATGTGTAGTATCTCTTTATAGGATGCAATTTTGAGACACAATCTGCATCTTACTCTCAATTAGGCAAGTATACCTATTGTAATTGTTATCTTTTACTTATGTGCTTGGTATGCTCCATTCCCTTCACAAAATAAATGGTAGCAGCTTATTCTATGTCAATAAAATTGTTGAATTGTCATTCAAATCCCACTATAGCAATTTCTCTCATACTTAGAAAAAAATGGAAAAGATGCCTGTATTTTTAAATTTTGTACCTCAAAGAAGATTACTTTCCCCCCAGATTTCTTGTACAACAATGCAAGCACTCATTATAAGCAGAAAACTTGTGGGCAAAAGGTACTAATCAGACCAATGGTTATAGTGTATGCAGTTTTAAACTTAGCCCTTTTTTGGTGTTAGTCTATCAAAAGAGACATGTATTCTTATCAGTGTCAATTTTGCCTCCTATTTCTCTCTCCCATGCCTTTCACTTGGAATGACAACAGTTGACATTAAAAAGCTGTTGGCAGGTATGGAATAACCTTATTCTGTTTCCAATAGCAAAGACCAAAATGCATGTGAGGTGATTCACAGGTTTGATAAATCAGCAATTCCGTCTGTCTGGAGGAGGTTCTTGGTAGGTGGCATTTAGAACCCAGGCACAGCACTGTATACAAAGACATCATTCCATCTGCACCTAATCGCCAATACTTTTTACATGTTTTAGGAGTAACACGCACACTGTATTTGTGATGAAAGAAGCAACCGGTCTTACATCCAAGTCTCAATCACTCATGAGAATTAGTTTCTGTTGCTGATAGCTCCAAAGCTTCTGAGTTTTCATTAACACTGAGGAAATTTTGAAAACAACTGAATGGAGCACTTCTGTGGAAGGAGTGTTTCCGTATTTCACTGAGTGTGTTTTGTCCCCCCCCATCTAGGACTCTAGTTACTAGCCTTCCCGTCTCAGGGTTACACAGGCCTCTTAGTGCATCCCTCCTCCCTTACGCCTGGTGTACTGTTCCGCCAGTCACTGGGTGAAGGGACTTGATGCCACTTCACTCCCGGATCACCTGGCTGGGAGTGCAGTCTGAGCCAGGTAACCCCTGCTGAATCGGTCGTGTGTCATCCGTCTGTTTCTGGGTGCAGAGAGCCCCAGGTCCCAGGACGTGCCCCGTCTGCTCACTCATGGCCCCTTCTGGCTCTGCACACTTCCTTCCCACATGGAAGCATGACAATGGGACAAAACACCCCTCTCCCCCCCAGGAGTAAATTACGGTGTGAAATCGTTGGGCCCATCTTAGTAACCAACCACCCTCTCCTCTGTTGTCCCCAGTGGCCTGGTTTGCTTTCGACCCTGGCTCGGCACACTCTGACATCATCTTCTCCAATGACAACCTGACTGTGACCTGCAGCAGCTACGATGACCGCGTGGTGCTGGGGAAGACCGGTTTCTCCAAGGGCGTCCACTACTGGGAGCTGACAGTGGATCGCTATGACAACCACCCCGACCCTGCCTTTGGCGTGGCTCGCATCGACGTGATGAAGGATGTGATGTTAGGAAAGGACGACAAAGCTTGGGCAATGTATGTGGACAATAACCGGAGCTGGTTCATGCACAACAACTCGCACACCAACAGGTACCCTGCAGCCCCCTGCAAGCAAGCCTTCTTCATGTTGGCTTCTGGTCCAGAACGATAGCCCAAGTTCAGAGACCTATTAAGTAGACAACATGAAGGAAGTCGGGCAGACCATCTTTATTAAGTAGATCTTCTACTGCTCTTAGCCAAGTCCATCCTGGTGTTTTGCTTTTTGCATAATGACAGGGACATGAACACTTTCTTAGACCCCTCATTGCTATATTCCCCTTAGGGCTGCAAACTAAGAATCCTCATGAATATCCATTATACAAAAACATTCCAGGATTCTAAAACACAGTCTTACAACTTACCAGAAAAGCACTTGTGTACAAGATACTTAGTTTTTCTGAACATCAGTTTCCAAATCCACCAATTAGGGAAATCATATTTTTCCATGCAGAAATGTTCCCATGATTAAATGAGACATGCAAAAATGCTTCCCATCAAAGGCATCTGAAAATAGAAGCCACTGTCTTATTATTATTATCAGTACCACTATTCAGTGGTATTGAGCACTTTAAACTAAATCTCATGGATTTACTTAAATTTATGATATATTTAAATCTTATGGATGCCAGTTTGGATAGTTTTATAGTTGAAAAAGCCTCTTAGTATATGGATTCAGAGCAGCCAGTTTGCTGGGGAAAGAGAACACAGGAATTGTTTTAGGTTTTCCTTTACCACCAAAATCTAGGCAATTATAATTTAACTCATACTATAATATTTTCTCTAGACTTCCTTTTTCATTTGGTTTGTGTTTTCTTCCTCAAATGTATTTTTCACAAATTTCATAGGTAGAGAAGTGTCTTTTAGGAACCTATTTCACCTTATTCTCAAATACATCCCCAGGCTACATTCTTATTGGTGTCTGGAATGGGGGTGTGGGGGACTAGAGCCGTATTCAGTCAGAAGGCAAGTGAGTCGGGCAGCGGTAGGCAGTGGGCTCCACTGTCTCAGCTTTTTCTCTGTGCTCATCACTGCCTCTCTTCTAGGCTCCTAGGGCCTCCACTTCCTCTTCCCTTGGATAGTTCTTCTACATCTGCATTCGCTCATGCTTCATTCACTGTCCCTTGACGTGAGCACACGTTGCTGGCCAAACTCGTGGCCTTCTCTGCCCACCAAAGCCGGATGAAAAATACAGAGACAGAGTTTGGAGGAAATAGAAAGGTTTCTTCAAATTCTCAGCCAGTGGAAAGGGGAACACAGTAGGCTCATGCCTCCCCCACCATAGGGAGTCTAGGGCCTTCTATACGATGAGGAACAAAGGTATTAGGATCTTGATTTCTTCCTCTTGCATTGTTTCAAGGACAGTCATACTGGCTGGTGTCAGTAACCCAGTAACTGAGTCTGGCAGTTCCATGGCTCTGTGGCCTTCTTGCTGATGTGTAACTACAACGGGAAGGGTGTTATAAGGGTAAACACCAGATAGGGGATGTATGCAGCACAGAGTCAAAGGAAAATAGGTGTGAAGTGTAGCTTCTGCAGAGTTAGGGGGCAAAAGAAGCAAACCTAGTTACAGACCTACAGAGTTAGGAGCAGTTGAAGTGGGAAAAAAAAAAACTAGGACTGTTTAGGCCTGCTTACTGTTCTCTTTATCTTCCTGGTTCTCGGAACAGGAAAGAAAAAGACTCACTCATCATTTTTACCCTTTTCACTGCAACACACACATGCCATTCCAGCCTAGTCTCAAATCCTACTATGTGTAGATAAGCTGTTACCTTCAGGGATTCACATTTGAGGGACCCTCTGTCGCCAGATCTCTGATACCATCACCCGTGTACCCCACTTATTTTCCCTTTCAACTTCTTTATTTTGGAATGAAGAGGTAATAACGCAACTGCCATACTATGCAGAGAAACAGTTTTTTAAAGCAGGACATTTCTCCTTGCATGTAAACTGCATGTCACCAGGGCTGTCATTACTGAAACTGAGAAACTGCCAAGACACAATTGATATTGTATTTTTAACATATTTAATATATATTGTGTTTTTAGCGACTGTGCACAGCCTGTGTTCTGCATCCCAAGGGGAAAAGAAAAACACTCTCACATGTCTGTGAGGCTAAAGTTCAGTAGTGCTAGATCTCAGTGAGGAGGAAAGGGACAAATCAGATTATCCAGGCTTAATGGCTTTTATGAAACCATCAGTTAAAGCATAAGACACAATTTGTTTCCAATGACAATCACTCCAGCTCCTACAGTATAATTATTTCACCTTACAGAGAGGAGATTCCTCTTCAGTGTTTTATGGAAAGCTTCTAGCTTCTCAATTAAGTTTCAGTATGCCCCAAATTACTATCTTTCTGGAATGAGTTTTTCTGGTTAATGGATAGCATGAGCCCCAAATCCAATTTTTCATGCCTGTGTTCTGGGTTCAGCTTAAGTGCCTCTTTACTTTGACTTTCAAATTAAATCATTTTGGACTGAATGATGCTTAATTCACAACTTGAGACACAGCTCCAGGCAAAGTTCTGATAGCCTAAAGGCTACTTTTTGCTCCTGGCGTTTGATGCTTGTGACTCCATGTGGACACTGTGTGTGAAAGGGGTTCACTCTTGGCAATAGCAGAGCAGCGCAGTGAACCTGTGCATTGTCAACAGGGGCGTGAGAATTGGTTCAGGGAGCAAGCAGATCTTACTTTTTTATATACATGGGCTTGCCAGGTGGCGTGAGTGTTAAAGAATCCGCCTGCCAGTGCAGGAGACTTTTTTATATAAAGCAGGAGACATAAGAGACGTGGGTTTGATCCTTGGGTGGGAAGATTCCCTGAAGGAAGGCCTGGCAACCAACTGCATTATCCTTGCCTGGAGAATCCCAGAACCCCATGGACTGAGGGGCCTGAAGGGCTGTGATCCATAGGGTCACAAAGAGTCAGACACGACTAAAGCGACGACACAACACAGCTATACATACAGCACATGAGAAGATAAACAGTATATCTGTGGCATTAAAATTGTGTGTGAGGAGGGGTCACTAAGAGGAAAAAATATGTTAAAAGGCTCCGGGGGTAGGGAATGATCATTTTAAACAGGTTAAGAAATACTGGTTTAACCATGCAAACAGGGCGCTTCTAGAAGAAGGACGGGCAAGTGAAACCCCGTGTTTTCTTTTTCCGCAGAACTGAGGGAGGGATCACAAAGGGGGCCACAATTGGGGTCCTCCTCGACTTCAATAGAAAAACCTTGACGTTTTTTATCAACGACGAACAGCAAGGTCCCATCGCGTTTGAGAACGTGGAGGGCCTGTTCTTCCCGGCAGTCAGCCTCAACAGGAACGTGCAGGTGAGCGGTGCTCCATTTGTGAGGCTGCCCGCGGGGCGGTGAGCTTAGGCCCCACCTTGGAGGGCCCAGACCGAGACGCGGAGGAGAGGGAGGGGCGGGGCGGGACGGACGTGACAAGGGAGATTAAAAGCCCCTTCATTATATTTAGACACAGTTTGGTGAACAGCAGCGGGGAAACTGGGATTCTCTGGTGGCAGGCTAATGACTGTCCTCCTGAGCCCTAGATTCCTCTCTAGTGGAAAGGAAACTCTTGAACCCGGTAGCCTGAAAGCAAATGAAATGACTGACGCAAAGCCCCAGGAGTGTCTGAGAAGTGAAGGTGTGAGCCTGAAGTGCTAACAGGATGCTTAGAAATCTGGGGCGTCTCCACTGCAGTCTTATCGCCTCTGTTAGGGAGAGAAAACATAGTTCCTGCCTGCAAGTTAGTTAGTAATGATTTTTTGTAAATAAAAACAACAGGGTTTCCTGATTTGCTCATTCAATAAATATCTACTGTGTACCTTTGATATGTCAGGCACTATTGAAGTATTTTAAGTATTGTTGTTTATCAGTGAAAACACAAAAATGAAAATCTTGCCCTCTTAGAGCTTGCATTCTAGTTACAAGAGACACAGTAAATAATAAGCACAATTATAAGCTGTGTTAATTATATAGTATATTAGAAGGCAGTATTGGAAAAGACCCTGATGCAGGGAATGATTGAGGGCAAGAAGAGAAGGGGGCAACAGAGGATGAGGTGGTTGGATGGCATCACTGACTCAATGGACATGAGTTTGAGCAAAGTCAGGGAGTTAGTGAAGGACAGGGAAGCCTGGCGTGCTGCAGTGCATGGGGTCGCAAAGAGGCAGACACGACTTAGCAAATAAACAACAGCAACAGCAAGGCAATATGCAGTGGAGCGAAGACAAGGAAAGGGTAGGGGACCAACAGTGCCAAGGGAAGGAGGGCAGTGGCAGTCTTAAGCAGGGTGGTCAGCATAGGTGGGCCTTACTGCAGTCACTGGTGAGATGAGCCTTGACGGAAGTGAGAGAGTGAGCCGGGTAAGGCTTTCCAGGCAGAGGGAACAGCCAGGACAAAGTTTCTAAGATGTGAAGGGCTTCACACAGGCAAAGAGGGGCCAGGAAACCACAGCTGGGGCAGATTGGGGGCGGTTGGAGAATAGATCAGGGCATGCGAGAGGAGGTGCCCTACCAGCCACTGCTGAGATGGGAGCGCTCACTTCTGTCTTAAGCTGGAACTCGACACTGGCTGTGAACTTCACTCAGCAAATGGCTGCCAAAAGATAGTTAGGGCTTAAGCATCAACACAGTGCTCGTGATTTTTGTTGTATACAGAACTACCATCTTGGGAGCTATTTTAAAAAACCATTGTTATTTATCAGTATGTGCAGTAGAAGTGATTGCAACCCAGTGACCTCTGCCCTTCTCTCTTGCTGCGACTTGATGGGTTTTTCTGGAAGGCTGAAATCTAATCCATCAAGAGTCTGGCTCTACATTGGACCAAAGAAAGCCACAGATTTCCCTAGAAGTGTGTTTTGGAAAACACTCATTCAAAGTTTTCCGCTTTTCTAGCTGTTTCCCTTGCAAAGGCTGTTGTACTCAATGCTCTTTAGAGGTTTCTGGGATGTTCTGAGTATCTTCAGAGAAAGACTCTTAGACTGGGGAAGACAGGAACAAGGTAGAGAGAGATGACAGACAGCACTGCATGAAATGGTCCTAGCCTGATTGGTACAGCCGTCCACTGAGGCCTGAAGTTAGACAGAAATCAGTGAAATAGTTTAAGTACCCATGTCTCCTCATTCTTGACAATCATCTAGGCCATCTGAAAGTGAAAGGCTTATCCTAACTGAAATAACTAGGGGACAAATAATAGGGGAAGGGTTGTCTGCTCATCTGTTCTCTATCCATGGATATGGCAGTGACCATTGTAATGTGGCCAACAGGCTTTGCTACCTGCAAATCATGCCTCTGTCTTCAGTCATAAGGAACACAATCTCCCCAGAATTCTTTGAAGAGGCAGGTGGATTCGAATCATACTATCAAGTGTCTCCAGGATCAGGGAGCCCAGCATGGTGGCCAGGTTCTTAGCACAGGCTGAATTCTACTGGAGTGTCCTGTGATGTCTACTAGAATAAATGTTACAGGAAAGTGAGCAGATCCCTTTCTGAGTCAGGAACGAGCCCACTGTGCCCTGGGGAGGGGGTGCAGTTGGGGGGGCTCCTAAGGTGCCTCCAGGACTGACAGTCTCTTCCCCCAGGTCACGCTTCGCACGGGGCTCCAGGTCCCCGACTTCTACTCCAGCAGAGCATCAATAGCCTAGGAGTGCGCCGTGGAGGCGCCAGCTGCCTGTTCTCACCTCCCGCCCGAGAGTGACCGCCGGGAGCCCAGCCAGACCTGGAGGGAGCGAGGAGGAGAAACGCTGGTCCTCATACCCGCAGCGCCCCCACACAGCCTTCCCTCCAGCCTCTACTGCTGTGAAGCCTGCTTTCTCTTCCATAGTCAGCAGTTCTAACCAACAGAGGACCTACACAGCCCACCGTGTCACTTTGTTTCCAAACCCAGATTTTGCTTTTATTTACATTAATTTTTATGTAGGTGAGTTATCTCTTGTTTTTCTTCCGATCGTGTCATTGGTGACTTACAGACTGGCACTGCCAAGAGAAAATTCTCCTAATAACTTTTTTCTTAAGCTCTCTGTCAAAGAGGTAGGTGGTAGGGAGAGGTAGGGAAGAATGAGCTGAACTTGGAGCTTGCCATTTAGAATGTTCTTGAGGGTCCTTGCCCTGTGCCTTCTCATGCTGCGTTACCTCTGCATAGCTAGTCTTTTCAGCAGTGAAAACTTTTACTATCCACTGAAGCACAAAAATGAGAGCTACACAACTGCATAGAGGTTCATAGCAGTGTAGGCTCAAAGGACATCTGGGTCATTAGGACGGGTCAGAAACCCTGGTCACTGATTGAAACTGGAAAGTCTCTAAACATAGGCAGGCCAGGGAACTTCATGATTTGGTTCATTTATTTATCACAAATTTTTAACTGAGAACCTATTCTGGACCAGACACTGTTCTAGATGCTGGAGACACAATAGTGAATACACAGGTGTGGTCTCTGCCCTCCTGGAGCTTATATTGTCCCAGGAGAACAAACCAAAAATAAAATTGTTGAAAACTGTTACTAGTACTAGAAAGGAAGTAAAAAGGGCCAAAGATGTTCATTGGCAAGATCTTTCAGATCCCCCAGAATGATGCTAAAAATCCATACAATCTGGTCATAGCACCAGAAACATACCAACTCAATGCCTTTCCAACTGTGCTATTCTAATTATGGTACCTGCTGTCATTCATCACAAAGCCCTTCTTTAGTAGAAATGATGTCAGCATTCTTATTTGTTAATGCTGCAGTGATACTAAGCCTTAAAAACTTAATGTGAAAAAAAAAAAAAAAAGTAACAACCAGAAGGAGGAGCTCTCATTCTCTGTAACGGGGGATCTTAAATTGCAGCTCACAGCATTCCATTCTCAGGATTAATGCTCTTGTCTCCGTTTAGACTCACTTTCTGTGCCTGTCACAGGTGAACTGTCCATCCACTCAGCTGCCATCACAACCCACCTTTCTGAACTAGTTCAATTAATGTTTGGAAGGAAAATGAAATTGTAGGTCACTGCTCTGCTCTTAACAGAGATAATAGCAAAATAGCAGAATAATAAACGTATTACTTCCGTGTAGAGATAGACCTATATAAACTTCCTTTCAGATTCTTTTGTTTGACATGAAGTTTTAGAAAATGTTGGACCTTGAAAGAAGTTCTAGTTAGTTGTCTAAATATTTGCCAGGGAGTCAAGAAATTCACAAAGAAAAAAAGAAAAAAGTAACAAAAGAAAAGCAGTAAGATTGGAAAGCTAGCAAATTAAAGTTTGGGCAAAAAGTAATATCTGTAAATAGCTAATAGTTTACTTTTGTGCTTTATTTAGATTGTTTCTATCTGCTGTGGTGTTTTTCTAATTAAGTGTACCTAATTTATTGAATGGGTGCTATCCTGTTTGTGTCCACCTTGGTTTTTCTTGGCTACAGAACCACTCTGTTGCAGGCCAACACTCATTTGATATTTGATTTATTCTCCAATGAGACTTGATGGCTGGGCCGCTGTAGACTCATAGTTACTCTTGTTCTTTATTAAATTCATCCTGCTAATTAGATTTCTAGTGACTGGTAACACATAGTTTACACAGAATTGCAATTATAGATACATAGAGCTCCTGTACTAGAAAAAAAATGGATATTTCTGGTGTACCAATAAATGATTTTTATGAGAGAACATTTTATGTCTCTTTAGAATATCATAGTTCTTTTTGCCTATTTGGGATGACAGTTCGCCTTTGTCAGAGCAATATTTCTTCAGCAAAGTGTCATTGGAAGGTCCCCCAGGACTGGGGAAAGCACATGTACTTCATCCCAACTCCTCAGGAGCCTGGCATTGTCTCCTGGTGGTACTGACCTCCTCAGTCTTAACTTCATATAAAATGTTAATAGTTGATGCCGTTAAGGTTATGCCTCCAAACACTGGGGACTTACTTTAACAAACTTGCTCCTAGAAGAGCCACAAACTTGTCCTGCAAGATAGAGTGTCACTAACTTTTTCGAACTTGGTTCCTTCACCATTTGTTATAGTGGCTAAGCAATATGATTGTTTTTAGATAATTACAACATTGTTCATCTCCCTTGTTTTTTAGCCTTTTAAAATGAACTGCCTTGGGTTTATATTAAAAGAAAAACATCATTTAAAAAGATATTGAAAGCATGGCTTAAATCCATTTCACCTGCCTTCACTAATCTAGATTGTTCTAAGACGTGCAAATCTTCCAAGCAGCAAGCCTTCTAAACTGCAAGATGTTTGTGGCAGTTGTTTTCCAGGAACTTGGCATCAGCTATGTCAAGTTGGAACTGAGCTTATTAACACTGGATGGGGCCACCGACCGACCCCTCAACTGGGCATGTGCAAGCAGGAGTCCCCTTGGTGACCTTTTGACAACAGAGGGCTGTAATTAGTTACACCTGGGCAGAATGACTGTTCTCACACCTTTCGGCAATCACCCTCCTCCCACACACCCCTCCATGTGCCCCATACCCCCCACATGCCCCTCCCCATGCCCTTCAAGCCCTATGCCTCAGCCCAACCTTCTTCCTTATCCCCTAAATACCCCAAGCCCCTTGCCTTCGGTTGGGAGATGGGTTTAAGATTTGTTCCCCTGTTTGCTTTGCTGGAAACCTCAGCATTTTGGTTCACTGTGCTTCAGGCAAGATGAACCCGGTTCCATAACAATTCGGTCCATCCAGATTCTAACCTCTGAATGTAACCTCTGACAGTTGGAGCTTCTGCCCTGCGTCCATCCGGGTTTCTGCTCTCTTCTTTCCTCACTCTCTACCCTGTTACTTTGTTCTTGTTCCTCTATTAGCCCTATCTTCTGGTTTTCTGCCTTTCTCTCCTCTAACTACTAGGATGCTTTAGCCACGTTTTAATTTTTCCCTGGTGCTAAGGTTAATAGAACTTCTGATCCCCTGCCTATTTCCTCATAGGAGTGATTAAGTGATTTTCAAGAAATCACCCTATTTTCTGGAAATGAGATCCTCCTTTTACACCTCTGCTGTGTGCACTTATCTTTTGCCCATCTACTTAACTCACTGACAAGAAAGAAGGGCATTCTACTGAGTCAGAATTTCTGATTATGAATCAAAGAAACTATAGTAATTAAAGAAGTGCTTGGATCACACTACCTTATAATTTATATGGACATGCTGAAGATATCTGCATATATTCTTCAAATATATAAGCCAGCTACTTCCACTGAGACTGGTGTTTAGGGAACCTTGGGTCTGACATGATACATCACACATAATTGAGTCTACCTAAATCGTGTCTTTCTGAAGAATCAGCTTTTTGGATACACACAGAATTTGGAGTATCAAAACAGAGTGAACACTGGAAGTTCCTAATTACACATGCAGAAAACATCAGCCTGGTCCTTTGAACTAGTAGCTCCGTTCTGCTGCAGATGTGATAAGAAAAGCTGCAGGTACAGAATCAGATATCACAGAATTAGATAGTGGTGATGGCTGCATAGCCTTATAAACATATTAAAAATCACTGAGTTGTACACTCTAGAGGGGTGAGAGGCCACGTTGGACATGACCAGGACTCTCCTTATAGCCTCCCTCACTACCTAACAGTCTGGGTTCCTATCTCCCCAAACCTGTCCTCTGAAATAAAGCCCAAGGCAGAAGCAGAGGGCCATTGAGGACTGAGAAACCAAACTCCTGGCCTGACTTTTTCTTCCTCTTCCCATATTCCCTTCCCCTCGCTATGTGGTGAAGATTGCCTGTACGGTTGGACCTCCTACCATGGACTTTAACCAGCCCCCTTCCTGAGGACCACAGTGCTGGGGAGAGTAGAAACCCATCTGCCAATAAGGAAAAAATTCAAAAGTAGCTCTCACATACCCCCAGTGGGTATGAATCTTGCCCACATTTCTTTTTTCCTTCTCCCACCAGGTAGAAATAAGCATTTATAGTGAAATCTAAAAGGGTTAATGTTTTGGTTGGTGTTCTTGCCCTTCCACCCCCCCCAATATTTTTTTTATAAAATTCTCTAAGTAATGAGGATAAATTAGAGTTTCATTAGCAAGCATGGCTGAATAATGTTCAACTTCAATTACCTTTTAACAACTTACAAACTGCCTTTTGATGTATGGCCACAATTTTTAATGTGTATGATGAAGGAAACCATAAAGCTACAGAAACCACCTTGATGAGAGAAACTTCATGAAGATATAAACCAGTGAGTTGTTCTCCACCCTGGCTTAAATTCTCCAATAAGAACAATATGTCCAGGGACTTCCCTGGTGGTCCAGTGGCTAAGATTCTGTAAGTGGGGAGGGTTCGATCTCTGGTCAGGGAAACTAGATCCCACATGCCACAACTAAGAGTTTACATGCTGCAACTAAAGACCCTGCATGCCACAACTAAGACCAAGGACAGCCAAATAAACAAACAACATGTCCAACTATGCGTCTATATATGTTCTGAACAAAGAAAGGAGCACAAATGAGGCAAACTACGTAAAAGTGCTATGTGCAATAGAGATGAAAGACATGTTAAATATAAGTATAATTATTAAGTTATTTCTACCCTCTGTACTCTGAGACAGCCTGAGGGTGGTCAGGCATAGCAACTGAAAGCACATCATCTGGCAGGTCTGACTGAATTCTGGCCCTTGGTCCTGGTACCAAGGTGTGCCAGCTGCGTGCCCTGCAGCAAACAATGAAAACTCACCCACAGTTTCCATGTCTCTAAAGTGGAAATAGAAACGTTGTTTTGAGAGTTAAAGCAAAAATTTAGTGTAAAACACTCCAAACTATATGTGTCCCCTGTTGAGTGTTGTGAAGATCTTTTCATGTTGAGTGTTATGAAGAACACTTTTCTATGCAAGTATCACATAGTTCGTGGTGATGTCAGTTCTGTCACTCTTGTAAGGTTCTGAGTGTCAACAATGATTCTTAACATCATCTTCTTGGGAGACAGTGTGTACAAATTGTCTTCGTCAAATTCTACTGCAAAAATTAATGGAAGTTATGTAAAATAGATGACCAGTGCAAATTCGATGTATGAAGCAGGGTACTCAAGGCAGTGCTCTGGGACTACCCAGAGGGATGGACTGGTGTTCAGGATGTGGGGCGGGACACATGCCCACTAGTGGCTGATTCATGTTGACGTATGGCAAAAACCACCACAATATTGTAAAGTAATTATCCTCCCACTAAAATAAATTAGTTAAGTAAAAAAAATTAATGGAAGAATATAAGCAAGGAAATTCTGAGAAAAAGTTCACTTCTATGACACCATTAAAATCTATTTCAAACCACAATAATCAAAATGGTATATAGTTTGACTTAATCAGCTACAGGATAACTCAGACTTCAATGAATGTTGAACAAACAGTTACAACGGAGGAAGTGAAAATTACTCCAAAAGGTTGAAAATATTATTTGAAAATAGGTTAGCCATTTGGAAACTTTATTTTAAATCATATCACAGCTCAGATATTAAGGGGTTAAACATTAAATAGTTAAAACTTTAATAGACCAGAACGAAAAGCAAATATTCATCTGCTCTTTCTCAGGAAGGCTTAAGTCACTGTAAATTAGTTTATGCAATGTTGTTGTTGTTCAGTCATGTCCAACTCTTTGTAACCCCATGAACTGCAGCATGGCAGGCTACCCTGTCCTTCGCTATATCCCAGAGTTTGCTCAAACTCATGTCCATTGAGTCGGCGATGCTATCTAACCATCTCATCCTCTGCTGCCCTTTTCTCCTTTTGCCTTCAATCTTTACCAGCATCAGGGTCTTTTCCCATGAGTCAGCTCTTTGCATCAGGTGGCCAAAGTGTTAGAGTTTCAACTTCAGCATCAGTCCTTACAATGAATATTCAGAGTTGATTTCCTTTAGGATTGACTGATTTAATTTTCTTTCAGTCCAAGGGACTCTCGAGAGTCTTCCCCAGCACCATAATTTGAAGGCATCAATTCTTCAGTGCTCAGCCGTCTTTATGGTCCAACTTTCACATCCATACATGACTATTGGAAAAACCATTGCTTTGACTATATGGACTTTTGACATCTTTACTTTTTAATATGCTGTCTGGGTTTGTCATAGCTTTCAAGAAGCAAGCAAGTTTATGCAATAGGTTTATCAATTTTCTAAACCTCCTTTCCAACCAGTATTTTACATTTTAAACCCTCCTGTGTTATCCCTGCCTATATACCATAGTCATCTGTTTTCTTCTTTAATTAACTGGGCCCATTTTTATCCTGTCTAAACCCACTTCTAGTACTCCAGATTTATTGAATGTATTGATTTATTGTCATGCTGCCACTTAACAAAATACTTTTAAGGAAAGATTGAGGTATTAAATATGAACTACTCTGTACTGTGGACTGTATTTTCAACCTAATAGTTGTTTCTAATGAGAAAATCATCTGAAGTAAATGAGGATTCTAAATGTTCTTTCTGTAAAGGTTGATTTCTACATGTGATCTGTGAGACGACCACTCCACTCAATATATTTTTCTAATTGCCTGTGGGAAGTGTGACTGTCAGATGTTAAGAAATAAGCCTCCAATCTTATCACTTGCCTAGCTTAAAATGATAAGTAGGTGAAGGTTAATTGCAGCTTCTCAAGAGGTTGGTTTCATAGTTAACAATAAATGAGCTTTGCAGAATAGGCATACTACCTGCTAAGCGCTTAGACCTGCTATGCCTACAGGAAAAAAAAAAAAGTA